TTAATGTCGCATATTACGTTAATATAGAATTTCCCTTAATTAATCTATGATATTTTTTTCAAAATTATATAAGAAACCCCATTTATTTTAACACACAAACATGATACATGCACCCACAGTATAAAAATTTATAAAATATATATGAGATGTTTACCAAACGGTTTGTAAAAGTGTCAGAAGAATTACGTTTTCTCTAGCCCGTCACATGTTACTAGGGATAACTGTAGAAAAATATTCCTTTCGTATGCCTTCACTTTATAGCTATAATTCTGTACTAACTTGTACACATTGTAAGAGTATTTGTTTCGTGATTTAATTATTATTATAATAATAAAAATATTATAAGGTAAAAGTTTCACAAACTTTTTACAAATGTACATGAATGAACTAAAACTGGACACGTATTAATACCGTCTATTTCGCCTGACCGCGTGATCGTCCAAAAACCTGTTCAGTTTGTTTGTTTACGCTGTCTGAGCTCGGTTGTATCATTAAATGTTGTATATTATGTTAATAACACATTTTCATTAATCCATCCGTGATATTTTTTTCAAAAATTATATAATAAAAACACGATACAAAACATAAATTACATAAAAAACATATGTGTAGAGAACCTAGGATAACCCAAAAAAGTCAAGAGTGATTACTTCCATTGCCTTCACTCAGAGCATCATTTCTTCTCAAAATGATGTTACATGAGAATGGGAGTGTTCTTCTTTATTTATTCTACCGTATCAATGTAGAGACAACCTGTACCACAATGTAACTTGTACACAAACCAGACGTGTACACTGTTTACAAAACTTACCTTTGCCTGGTTTGTTTACATAACTCTGCGCCTGTCCTTCTCATGCACTCATTCTTTCTCTCTGGTAGGGTAGCCTGGCTGACTACCATACATACCATACTTGATTTTTTACAATAAATATCTACTCATCTCACCCTATATTTTAAGGTAAGTAATGAGTGAACTGTATATACATTTTATCGCTCTGGGATGCTTAAATATCATAGAATAGTATGTGTGGGTGGGTTGGCCTGGTATGGTAGCCTGGCTGACTACCATACTACCAACACTTGTTTTTTTTACAATAAATTACTACTCATTCACCCTATTTTAAGGTAAGTAATGAGTGAACTGTAAAATACATTTTATCGCTCGGGGATGCTTAAATATCATAGAATAGTATGTGTGGGTGGGGTGGCCTGGTATGGTAGCCTGGCTGACTACCATACATACCACATTTGATTTCTTACAATAAATACTACTTGTCTCACCCTAGATTAAGACTATAAATATTTTAATGTAAGTAATGAGTGCACTATGTGTGTATTGTACTTTTTTATTGTTTTTTGATGCCTTGTTCTATTGCTAACTTAATATATGTTAGTGTAAACTTGTTATCTAGTGTTTGTATGCATTTGTAAGTGGAAAAAAAGGGTGTTCCACTTTACGGCGGTAGCCTGGAACCTAACCCGCCGTATAAGTGGGGCCCTCCTGTATATGCTTGTACATGTATGTGTAGTGTAACCTAAGTGTAAGTAGAAGTAGCAAGACGTACTTGAAATCTTGCATGTTTATGAGACAGAAAAAAGGACACCAGCAATCCTACCATCATTTAACCCTTAAACTGTCCAAACAGATCTACGTTCACATGCGTAGTGCTTCAAAAGTAGATCTATGTTTTTTTACATATTTTCAAATATAACAAAAAAAAAATGTAGATCTAAGTTTTTTACATGTTTTCAAATGTAAAAAAAAAAAAAAGAAGGTGTACATTTTTTTACATACTTTCAAATGTTGAAAAAACGTAGATCTACGTTTGGACAGTTTAAGGGTTAAGACAATTACATGCTTTCGTTTTACACTCACTTGGCAGGATGATAGTACCTCCCTGGGCGGTTGCTGTTTACCAACCTACTACCTAAATCAGTCTATTTGTTAACACATATTAGACCCACCAGTTGACATTTACTGAACACGTGACGTCATTTGTTTACTCTTGAACATTGGCAAAAATCGAACATTTCCACTAGTTTAAGCTTAATGTGAAGCCATTTTCAGTATTAAAACCAATCAAAATCATCTCTATTTCTGTAATATATTTTCCATTCTATCAAATGAGACCAAGAAACTGTGAATACAACCATAAAAACCATATGAAAATACACCACAAAGTCGCTGTTTTAATCCAAAAACATGGTAGCAGTTTTTTTTTTTCTCATGCACTGCTTGCTGCTGGATTTGTTTTTTATGGTGCACACTACCACATAGATGCATTCTCTCATATCTAGGCCCAAATTTACCGCTCACAGCTTATCTGAGTGAGCTGAGCTCATGACGTAGAACAGCAGCTTGGACCCTGTGGACAGCATAGATCTATGGTTTGGACCATCAGAGCTAATAACTCCTCTCCCATTTAGAACTGTCAAGTCCATTCGTTTCCTAGGCTTTTTCAACTTATTAATCTCACTCCAAAAAGTTTTCTTATTCTCAGCAAAATTTGTTGATAGCATCTCATCCACTCTAGGTTCAAGGTTGGTAGACAGCAACCACCCAGGGAAGTTCTATTGTCCTGCCAAATGAGTGTGAAATGGAAACCTGTAATTGTTTTACATGATGATAGGACTGCTGGTGTCTTTTTTCTCTCTCAAATACATGGGTTACCAGGTACACACACACACACGATAATGACATATAAAATTCCGAGAGGAATTGACAAGGTGGACAGAGACAGAATGTTCCTGAGATGGAACACAGCAACAAAGGGTCACAATTGAAAGCTGAAGACTCAGATGACTAGAGTTGTCAGGAAGTGGAATAGTTTGGAAAGTGATGTAGTAGAGGCAGGATCCATACATAGCTTTAAGAAGAGGTATGATAAAGCTCATGGAGCAGGGAGCGACCTAGTAGCTACCAGTGAAGAGGCAGGGCCAGAAGCTGTTACCTGACCCCTGCAACCACAATTAGGTGAGAGTGCACACACGCACACCCTCCCATACACACCCCATCCGGGTTTTCTTCTAATTTCTTAACAGATCTTGTTCTTATTTATTTCCTCTTACCTCCATGGGGAAGTGGAACAGAATTCTTCCTCTGTGAGCCATGCGTGTCATAAGAAGCGACTAAAATGCCAGGAGCAAGGGGCTAGTAACCCCTTCTCCTGTATGGATTACTAAATCTAAAAAGAGAAACTTTCATTTTTCTTTTTAAGTCACCCTGCCTTGGTGGGATATAGTGGTTCTTTGAAAAGAGAAAAATCTCACCTGCTCTCTCATTTGCTTCCTTTTTACATTCCTTCACTGCTCTTAACCTCTCTTTGTGTCACTTCTACTTTGTAAAAAGCCTCTCATATGTTAACTTTTTCTCTCTTACTATTCTCTTTACCTCATCATTTCACTGATTACTCTTCTTCCCTCCTGCACCCACTTTCCTGTAACCACACACTTCTGCTGAACATTAACTCTATATTCTTAAATCTAACCCATACCTCTTCAACTTCATTGCCCACACTCTCACTAGCCCATCTTTCTTCCAAAAGTTGTTTATATCTAACTGCCTCCTCCTTTAGTTTATAAGCCTTCACCTCTTTCTCTTACTTGCTGATGCCAGTCTCCTTGTATCCCATTTACCTTTTACTTTCACTGTAACTACAGCTAAGAAGTGATCTGATAAATCTGTGGCCCCTATATAAACATGCGTATCATGAAGTCTACCCATCAGTCTTTTATCTACCAATACAATACCAAATGATTTAGATAAAGTAAAATTGGATATCAAATTGGGGAGGAGGAGTATGGAAGAAGTGAATGTTTTCAGATACTTGGGAGTTGACGTGTCGGCGGATGGATTTATGAAGGATGAGGTTAATCATAGAATTGATGAGGGAAAAAAGGTGAGTGGTGCGTTGAGGTATATGTGGAGTCAAAAAACGTTATCTATGGAGGCAAAGAAGGGAATGTATGAAAGTATAGTAGTACCAACACTCTTATATGGATTGTGAAGCTTGGGTGGTAAATGCAGCAGCGAGGAGACGGTTGGAGGCAGTGGAGATGTCCTGTCTAAGGGCAATGTGTGGTGTAAATATTATGCAGAAAATTCGGAGTGTGGAAATTAAAGGGGAAGGTGTGGAGTTAATAAAGCATTAGTCAGAGGGCAGAAGAGGGGTTGTTGAGGTGGTTTTTGGTCATTTAGAGAGAATGGATCAAAGTAGATGACAGGGAAAACATATAAATTATAGGGGAAAAGGAAAGAGGTTGGAAAGAGGGGGTTAAAGGAGGTTTTGTTTGGGGGAGGGGCTTGGGGCTTCCAGCAAGCGTGCATGAGGTGTTAGATAGGATGAATGGAGACGAATGATACTTGGGACCTGACGATCTGTTGGAGTGTGAGCAGGGTAATATTTAGTGAAGGGATTCAGGGAAACCGGTTATTTTCTTATAGTCGGACTTTAGTCCTGGAAATGGGAAGTACAATGCCTGCCCCTTTAAAGGAGGGGTTTGGGATATTGGCAGTTTGGAGGGATATGTTGTGTATCTTTATACGTATATGCTTCTAAACTGTTGTATTCTGAGCACCTCTGCAAAGGCAGTGATAATGTGTGAGTGTGGTGAAAGTGTTGAATGATGATGAAAGTATTTTCTTTTTGGGGATTTTCTTTCTTTTTTGGGTCACCCTGCCTCGGTGGGAGACGACCAACTTGTTGAAAAAAAAAAAAAAAAAAAAAAAAAACATAGTCCAACAAACTACTCTCATTATGCCCTATATCATATCTTGTATACTTAAATATTTATCATTTTTTTCTTAAAATATGTATTACCTATTACCAAACCCCTTTCTATATAAAGTTCAAATGCTCCCATTATCATTTACACCTGGCACTCCAGGTGTAAATTATCAATACTAGTATTTTGAGGTTGACACACAATACGTATGCAAGGTATATGAGAGATCAAACTAATAAACTACTGCAAAGACTTTTGTATCAATTTACACTAACTTGCTCTCGGTCCTGAATATATTTGAAGTAAAGAAGATCTTCACCATTGATAGATATCTTTCCAGAGCCTCTTCCATATACAGTCACACTTGCTGTACTTGTTTTTCTTCTACCTACTGCAGCCATGTACGGTGTACCTTCTGCAGTAAACATGAGCTGTGAAGAATTAAAAGAAAAAATAATATTAATCAGAAAAAATGATTAAGTTGTGAGGGGTCATTTAGTTCTGCAAGACATTGGAGATTGTTCATCAGAAGAATGAGCAACAGAGATGGGCTACAGTGGGCAATAAGAAGTCAGACAAGCCATGACAAGAAACAACTGGAGCAATTAAAGACACAACAGAGCATACTCACTACTAATGAAGTACATATATGTTAATGCTAAAACATACCGACATGTGTATGATTAAAACAATTATGTTTCCATACAATAACTCGAGAACATCCCTTCTGATCCACCTCAAACTTATCCTAATGAGAGCAGTGTTTGGAAGCTGTGGCAGCCCTGCTGTGGTCAATTGGGGGAGATGCCTTAATGCTGGTGAGGAGCTTTTGATCTAAGGTGAACTTATCCTCCCCTTCCCTGGATTGAACCTAAGTACAGTGGACCCCCGGTTAACGAACTTTTTTCATTCCAGTAGTATGTTCAGGTGCCAGTACTGACCGAATTTTTTCCCATAAGGAATATTGTGAAGTAGATTAGTCCATTTCAGACCCCCAAACATACACGTACAAACGCACTTACATAAATGGTCGCATTTGGAGGTGATCGTTAAGCGGGGGTCCACTGTACCTTCCATTTTATAAATGCTATATTATCCCTGTGTGTTTAACACTTCCCAGTGATGAAAATAAAAATGTGGCCAATGACAAAAAATAAAAAAAAATCTTACAGATTATACAGCACTAAAAACCAAGTACTGCACTGTGTAACAATAAAACTGAAAAAAAATAATGAAAACTTACTCTTTTCATTGAACAATGAAGTTTAACAAATTTAGTTTGGTTGGCCCAGGAGCACTTAGTTTTACACTTATTTGCAATAAGTATCTTAATTTGGTGTTTTTCACTTTATGTGTAAATTTACACTACCAGAGCTTTACATAATATTTTATGTTTCAGGATGTGGTAGTCCATAAAACACAGAAATATTACTGCATAAATATTTTCAACGTTTGACTGGGCAACTTAAGGGGTTCATCTACAACAATAGACCTTTTGAGGATGTTAGGGAACTGTTCTCCAGAGTTGAGCTATTGCTTCTAAGTCTCTTGAAGGAGTTGAGCTGCAACAAGGCCAGCAGTATGGTACAGTACTGTATTTTTTCTGGCTTTCTTACCTGTCAGAAATACTGTCTCATAATTTCATATTATGTCCTGTGTTTTTTCCGTACCATACAGTACAGTAAAATTATTGTACCATAATTCTGTGCCTTTCCCGTGCTTTCAAAAAAATTTTATTTATTATTATTATCACACTGGCCGATTCCCACCAAGGCAGGGTGGCCCGAAAAAGAAAAACTTTCACCATCATTCACTCCATCACTGTCTTGCCAGAAGGGTGCTTTACACTACAGTTTTTAAACTGCAACATTAACACCCCTCCTTCAAAAAAATATATTTTTAAAACTGAGTCAACTATATAATTATACCTTCTTTGGCTTTTGTAGACAGCCGAGTACTAGACAATATGAGACCTCTACTCAAAGGGCTATTAATTCTAACACTGGTAGGAATAACTTTTTTAATGTCAATGAAACCTAACAGGAACTATAAATCCAGCTGAGTCATTCAAGCACATCACATATGCACACACATCTTACAAACTTACTTATGATATGCACTGTGCATTTGGTATATAATTGCATCACAGATAGTGAATATTTCTTTAGGATAAATTAAGCAAATTTATATAAGCTTTCTTGTTCAGTAAAGACTATAAAATTTGAAAATTATACAGGATATTACTTTATTTCCTTTATGCTTGTCTGAGAAAAATTGTAAAGCATTTACTATGTAAATAATGAAACAGTTATCCAGTGTGTTGGATCATTTTGAAGAATTAAACTATAAATTTAAGTCCAAAAAACTGATGTACAGAGGGAAAAACAAACATTAACCATTTTACCCATTATATAGAATAGTGTTCTTTGATGATTAACACAATAACTGAAAAATACAATTTTCTTTAATTCTTTTCTTTTATTTTAAAAACACTATTTTAAAATATGTAATTAGAAAATTGAATCTTTTTTTTTTTTTTAAATTTCATAAAAAAATTCTAACTACAGCAACTATTTTACTGAAGTAAAATGTATAACTGGCCTATCCACTGTACCTCAGAAACATGACTGGAACAACTATAATAGGAACTTTGGATATGAACCGATCATGTCTCTACTGAAGTCCAAACTATGCCACAAAAGCATATCATATACAGTACTATAGGCTTTAGAGTAATGTAAAAGGAAAATTTTTTCCTATCAATCATTTCTTTCTCATCCCATCTGGTGATAGGGATACTGCCAGCTTTCACCAAGTTTTGCTTTATGTTACACTACGTCCTGTCCTCTGTCATCAGATATGTACTTAAAAATTTTGCCAATTACTGAAATTTAGTGGCAAATTTTACTATACAGCCAAGACTGGCAGAAAGGTAGAGTTTTTTTTTTTTTTTTTTTTTACGTGAAAAGTACAGTACCGTTTATACTTAAGGAAAATATTTACTGTACATTTTGAAAAAAATCAACCACGCAGTACAGAATTCCATACCATACCATGCTGTCCTGCTAGCCTTGGCTGCAACTGCTCTATTTCCTGAGTTTTGAGGTACAGCTACTACATGAGGCACAGTAAACAAGAGTTAGTGACCAAAACACATTTAGTGCTTACTCAATTTACTGAATTTGCACATTGGAGGAAAACTGAGGATTACTTGGATTTAAAACAGCACTTAGAATCAATGAGTTGGCATTAGAGTTTGAATTTTAAAAAGGCTTACTGTACATGGAAGGATCTTCAAACTTATCATACTGATAATAAAGATACCCATCCTCTCATGATTCTGGTATACACATAGTACTTAATGATGCATATACAATCAAACACTTACCTTTGGTATTTCTTTATGTATGACTGATATCTGTACATGCTTCCTGAACTTCATAATAAATTCTTCAACTCTGTAGGAGAATGGGTGATCTAACAGACGATTCATTGATCTGACGAAGAATTCATACTGAAAAAAGTATTTTAAACATTTATACAATAAATGTTCCTGAATTTTTGCTGAAGCAGTCATGTGGCCTTCAAAAATTTTCTTAAAAGAAATTTTTTCACAAAAATGAACTGACAATTCCATATAACCATAAATAATAGTAATCTCTACAAATTTAATTTGAAAACAGTTTTGTGCATTTAAACACACTCGTCTAAATCATTACTTAATGATTTACTGAAGAATACCACTGCATATTAACCCCTTCACTGTCAGGACCCCAAAATTAAAAGTGCTAACAATGTCAAGATTAAGAAGAAAATTTTTTTGAAATGGTAGAGAATCTTTTTCTGAAGGCTATGATATAAAAAAATATGAAATTTGATGGAAAACTTATGGAAATGCACAGGCACAAAGTGTTCGGTCTGGGTACAATTTTTGAATCGGCAATTTCGTCCACTTCAACTCTTATTTTTATCCAATTCCATTGCTCAATTCAACCAAATTCTTAACTATTTCATTAATATGCTTTCCATTCTATTGACTGGGCACAACAAAATGCCCATTCAACTATCAGAGCTACCCTATAAAGTGCAGAGTCAGGAATTTGGCCAATTTTGTGCAAAATTCAATATAGTGGTACCTCAGGATATGAACAGCTCAAAACGCGAACAATTATGTAAGTGTATTTATGTAAGTGCTTTTGTAAGTGTATTTTTGGGGGTCTGAAACAGATTAATCTAATTTACATTATTCCTTATGGGAACAAATTTGTTCGGTATCAGCACTTGAACAGCCTTCTGGAATGAAATAAGTTCGTATCCCGAGGTACCACTGTAAATTCCAATTTAAAAAGAGAATCTAAAATAAACACTGCATGAATTCCAACCATTAAAGCAGCTTATCCTCTGTTCGTTAATCATGTCCCCTATTTCTCGGATAATGAAATATAACCAGGAATGACTGGTCATGGTTTACAGCACCCCAATAATTGAAGCAGATCTAGTAAAAACACAAAAAACAGACCAGGTGGTATAGGGAGCCTTACCCTTACTCAGGAAAACTCTCAAAAATTTAATAGTATTTCCTCAACTTAGAGCCCTATTTCAAGCTACTACCAGTCCTGAAGCCAACCAAAATTACCTCTGTTTCAGTAGTACGTTTTCCTTTCCATCTATTGATACAAAGAAATAATTAATAAAACCCTGGAAAACACCTGAAAATTGCCATTTTCATCCAAACAAAAGGTCAGAGGTTTGTTTTTCCCATCATATACTGCATGGGGCAGAATTTTTTTTATGTGGTGGACACTTATCGCGCAGAACCATTCTTTCATGTCTAGGCCAAAACTTACCACTCAGCACATTTGAGGGCACTGTGCTTGAAACGTAGATCAACGTGAGTGATGCTGGCATCAGTAATGTATATTTATGTAAGAGACAGTGAAAGGGTTAAAGCAGTAATAATTAACCCCCTTTTCCCAAAAAATAATGTAAATGAATCTGGACAAAATTTCAGTGTCTGGACACTGAAATTTATACTGATTAATAACAGCAGATCTTGACAATTGTACTTACTTGCTTATCTTTCAATTTTTCCAAAAGAATATCTTCCAGCTGTTCTTTCTTAACCCATTCTGTGCCCCCAACATTCCTGTGAAAAAAAAAAAATCCTTTTATCCTGAGTATTTCCTGCTCCACATTGTACAAGGTACAACGAAGTATATTTTTTTAGTTTTCAAAATGTTGTTTAGTGCTTTAAACAGTATTATGAGAGTGTTGGATATTTTAATTTCATGTTTAACCCTCAAATTGTGTCCAATGTACTAGTACACAAGTGATGCTTTTATGCCCAGCATACAAGTACGCACAATTTTTCATACTTTTAAATCTGTCACCTGCCAATATTTTTGACCTCAGCACAACTCTTTAGGTCTTCTACAATCTCTTCATACCTCTAAAAAACTCTAAGGCCAGGAGGGTCCACACAGTGCATTATGGTTAACTACACCATTGATGACTATGTGTACGATGTACTAGTATGCCTAACTAACATAAATAAACACTGAAACCAGGAGCTGTTGTTCCACCACCAGCTGTCCTACCAGCAGACAGGGTGTGAATTAGCACCAAGATGACTTATTCACTCCAAATTTATTACAATTTCATTACATTAACAGTGGAATTCAACCACAAAGTACGTACACTAATTAGATTTAACCGAGGATAACCCAATAAAGCCAAACACTGTGACTTATTTCCTTGTTTTAATAAGTATTACATTTTGAAACAATTGTAATATTATAGAACTTTGTTGTAAATATATGTTTACAGTAGTCTGGAAGGCACACAGATGTTATGAATACAATGTTTATAAAACCCAGGATATTCCCTCAAAACTAAATACTGTATACATCATTCCTTGTACATGTATATAGCAATTAGAAGACCAAAGTAGCAAAAAATCTGTTAAAAAACAATTACTTCACCAATATATACAGCCTCTCCTCACTTAACGATGGAGTTCCATTCCTAAGACCACATTGGGAAACGAATTCGTCACTAAGTGAGGCTCATACTATGCTGGTAGGGGGTTTGTGTCAATCATCTTTGATATTATTTTAATGTCACCTTTGCCCCATTTATAACATTTCTGGTACATTAAATGTTTTTACAGTAATGTACTGTATACTGTAATAAACAGAATAGAAGAAATCAGCTCTAATATATATTATTTAGGAATGCATACTGGTCAGAGAGCCCGTCGCTAATGAGTAGAAGCTGTACTGTATATTCCAAGTGAAGCAATGATGAACTATGCATTTCCTATGTTTGAAGTGCTAAAACATCTTCAAACACATTTAATATCTCAAGAAACTAGAGTACATAGTGTTAAACATTAAAAAATAATTAAAACCTGAAAAAACAATCACAAGTTGGCAGTGATAAATATGTAGTAGGTTGGTAGACAGCAACCACCCAGGGAGGTACTACCGTCCTGCCAAGTGAGTGTAAAACGAAAGCCTGTAATAGTTTTACATGATGGTTGGATTACTGGTGTCTTTTCTCTGTCTCAAAAACATGCAAAAGTTCAGGTACGTCTTGCTACTTCTACTTACACTTCGGTCACACTACACATACATGTACATGTTCATGTATATACACTCATCTGAGTTTTCTTTGATTTTATCTGAATAGTTCTTGTTGCAAGTGTATGATGTAGGAGGTAGGTTACTGAAAGCAGTGAAGAGTTTTTACGAGGATAGTGAGGCTCAAGTTAGAGTATGTAGGAAAGAGGGAAATTATTTCCCAGTAAAAGTAGGCCTTAGACAAGGATGTGTGATGTCACCGTGGTTGTTTAATATATTTATAGATGGGGTTGTAAGAGAAGTAAATGCGAGGGTCTTGGCAAGAGGTGTGGAGTTAAAAGATAAAGAATCACACACAAAGTGGGAGTTGTCACAGCTGCTCTTTGCTATGACACTGTGCTCTTGGGAGATTCTGAAGAGAAGTTGCAGAGATTGGTGGATGAATTTGGTAGGGTGTGCAAAAGAAGAAAATTAAAGGTGAATACAGGAAAGAGTAAGGTTCTGAGGATAACAAAAAGATTAGGTGATGAAAGATTGGATATCAGATTGGAGGGAGAGAGTATGGAGGAGGTGAATGTATTCAGATAGTTGGGAGTGGACGTGTCAGCGGATGGGTCTATGAAAGATGAGGTGAATCATAGAATTGATGAGGGGAAAAGAGTGATTGGTGCACTTAGGAGTCTGTGGAGACAAAGAACTTTGTCCTTGGAGGCAAAGAGGGGAATGTATAAGAGTATAGTTTTACCAATGCTCTTATATGGGTGTGAAGCATGGGTGATGAATGTTGCAGCAAGGAGAAGGCTGGAGGCAGTGGAGATGTCATGTCTGAGGGCAATGTGTGGTGTGAATATAATGCAGAGAATTCGTAGTTTGGAAGTTAGGAGGAGTGCGGGATTACCAAAACTGTTGTCCAGAGGGCTGAGGAAGGGTGTTGAGGTGGTTCGGACATGTAGAGAGAATGGAGCGAAACAGAATGACTTCAAGAGTGTATCAGTCTGTAGTGGAATGAAGGCAGGGTAGGGGTCGGCCTAGGAAAGGTTGGAGAGAGGGGGTAAAGGAGGTTTTGTGTGCGAGGGGCTTGGACTTCCAGCAGGCATGCGTGAGCGTGTTTGATAGGAGTGAATGGAGACAAATGGTTTTTAATACTTGACGTGCTGTTGGAGTGTGAGCAAAGTAACATTTATGAAGGGGTTCAGGGAAACCGGCAGGCCGGACTTGAGTCCTGGAGATGGGAAGTGCAGTGCCTGCACTCTGAAGGAGGGGTGTTAATGTTGCAGTTTAAAAACTGTAGTGTAAAGCACCCTTCTGGCAAGACAGTGATGGAGTGAATGATGGTGAAAGTTTTTCTTTTTCGGGCCACCCTGCCTTGGTGGGAATCAGCCAGTGTGATAATAAAAATAATAAAAAAATAGTTCTTGTTCTTATTGCTTTCCTTTTATAAAAATGGGGAAGTGGAATAAGAATCTTTCCTGCGTAAGCCATGCGTGTTGTAAAAGTTAACTAAAATGTTGGGAACAATGGGCTAGTAGCCCCTTTTCCTGTATAGCCTATTAAAAAGAAAAAGAAGAAAACCGTCAAAGTGGGATGTTTGAATGTGCATGGATGTTGTGTGAATGATAAGAAAGAGATGATTGTAATGTTATGAATGAGAAGCTGGATGTTTTAGTTTTAAGTGAAACAAAGCTGAAAGGGGTGGGAGAGTTTCAGTGGGGAGAAATATATGGGATTAGGTCAGGGGTTTCAAATAGAGTTAGAGCAAAAGTAGTAGTAGCAATAATGCTGAAGGATAAGTTATGGCATGAAAACAGGGAATATAAATGTATTAATTCAAGGATTATGTAGAGTAAAATAAGGGTTGGATGTGAAAAGTGGGTTGTAGTAAGCATTTATGCACCTGAAGAAGAGAAATATTTTGGGAAATGTTGAGTGAGTGCATGGAGAGTTTTGACCAAGTGTAAGAGTACTTGTGGTTGGGGATTTCAATGCTAAAGTGGGTAAAAATGTTGTGAAGGGAGTAGAAGGTAAGTTTGGGGTGCAAGGGGTAAAAGAAAATGGGAAGCCTTTAATTGAGCTATGTCTAGAAAGAGGTTTGGTAATAAGTAATACATATTTTATGAAAAAGAGGATAATTAAGTATACAAGGTATGATATAGCACATAATGCAAGTAGTTTGTTAGATTATATATTGGTGGATAAAAGGCTGATAGGTAGGCTTCAGGATATACATGTTTATAGAGGGGCAACTGATACATTGGATCATTATTTAGTAATAGCTACAGTTAAAGAGGTCGATGGGACAAAAGGAAAATGGCAACAAGTAAGAGAGAGGTGAAAGTGTATAAACTAAGGGAGGAGGAAGTTTGGGTGAGATATAAGCAACTGTTGGCAGAAAGGTGGGCTAGTGCAAGTATGAGTAGTGGGGGATTAAAGAGGGTTGGGATAGTTTAATAATGCAGTACATATTAGAATGTGGGGCAGAAGTTTGTGGCTATAGGAGGGTGGGTGCAGGAGGAAAGAGGAGTGATTGGTGGAATGAAGTAAAGGATGTGATAAAAGAGAAAAAGGTAGCTTATGAGAGGTTTTTACAAAGCAGAAGTGTTTAAAGAAGAGCAGAGTATATGGAGAGTAAAAGAAAGGTGAAGAGTGTGGTAAGAGAGTGCAAAAGGAGAGCAGATGATAGAGTGGGAGAGGCACAGTCAAGAAATTTTAATAATAAGAAAAAAATTTGTAGTGAGATAAACAAGTTAAGAAAGCCTAGGGAACGAATGGATTTGTCAGTTAAAAACAGAGTAGGGGAGTTAGTAGATGGGGAGCTGGGGGTATTAGGTAGATGGCGGGAATATTTTGAGGAACTTTTAAATGTCGGTGAAGAAAGGGAGGCAGTAATTTCATGCACTGGCCAGGGAGGTATAACATCTTTTAGGACTGAAGAAGAGCAGGGTGTGAGTGTGGGGAAGGTGCGTGAGGCATTACGTAGAATGAAAGGGGGTAAAGCAGCTGGGACTGACGGGATCATGACAGGAATGTTAAAGGCAGGGGAGGGGGGAAATAGTGTTGGAATGGTTGGTACTATTTTTGTTTAATAAATGTATGAAAGAAGGGAAGGTAACCTAGGGATTATGAGAGAGCATGTATATTTCCTTTATATAAAAGGAAGCAGGACGTAAGAGACTGTAATAATTTTTTTTTCCGACAAACCAGCTGCATCCCACCAAGGCAGGGTGGCCCAAAAAGAAAAATGAAAGCTTTTCTTTTTAAATTTAGTAATTTGTACAGGAGAAGGGGTTACTAGCCCCTTGCTCCCGGCATTTTAGTAGCCTCTTACAACAAGCATGGCTTACGGAGGAAGAATTCTGTTCCACTTCCCCATGGAGATAAGAGAAAATAAACAAGAACAATAACTAGGAAGAAAATACCAGAAAACCCAGAGGGGTGTGTATATGTATGTGTAGTGTGACCTAAGTTTAAGTAGAAGTAGCAAGACGTACCTGTAATATTGCATATTTATGAGACAGACAAAAGACACCAGCAATCCTACCATCATGTAAAACAATTACAGGCTTTC